ACGAAAAACCTAATGAATATAACATATACGGACGTGCTTAGTGATCAATCGCTCCTCTTTAAGCACATCGGCTTCTGTGTTGCAACAAAATCGATAGAAACTCGTCTTCATAATGATCACAGTTTGTTATTTCATTAATGAAACGCTAGCATTACGTAGAGAGTGCCTTTCCTAGATTGATTCAAAAATGTTTTATACGAATGGATTCTTTGAGAAAAATTTGTCTTGAAAAAAACCGTCACTTGCTATTTTTCGATTCTCAAATTTAAGTCTTAATTAAAGTCTCTATTAACAAGTATATCTTTTATTAATTAAAAAAACAAAAAAAAAATTTGTTTTATTTCTTTAAATTTTAAAGCTTATATAATTCGCGTAAAACCTCTTTCAAGCTAATATATCTTTGCAACGCATCTTTTGAAAATTCTTGCTAAGGAAATATATCGATTTCACATTCGCATCGAATACACTATCTTCTATTAAAATACCTTTAATCGGAAAAAAATTTATGACTCCCGCGTGACATGTACGCAAAAAAAATAAAAAGAAGGATTAAAGAAGATACTTTCTGTAAAATGTTATAAAATATTTTCGATATCGATTTTATAGCTAGGGAAATAATATTATACAAGAGACACGAGTTTATAGCAGTTCTCCTTTGTGTGAAGGGGTATTAGATATTCTTCGCGCGCGCATTGCCACGCAGGCTTTATAGAATATGACGTGATTTATAATGTAATATCGGCACGAGAGTTATGCATAAAATCCTAAGATTTCTTACGTGGGAGTCAATCCTCGTCTTAGAGGATTTATGGATGAAAATTAAATCTCAAGGAAAGTTCTTGAGAACTATAGCCTGTCTTTAAAACAAAAATATCAACAGTAACTCGTCATTACCGCGCAAAAACCTAGTCATCTGGATACATATATACACAAGCTTGATTAAATTGTTATACTTTGTGCAAGTTTGACGATAGCATACAAGAAGTACGAAGGAAATTTCGCTCAGATGCGTGATCTATGACGCTGGCTTCCTACGTGCTTCTTTCCACTTCTCTCACGTACGCTTTACAAGTTATCTAAATTTTTTAATTCCTATTTATCTCTCAATTTATCGTTCTCTCCCTCTCTCCTTTTTAATCTCTGTAGTGCTTTGAAATTAATTTTATTGCTTTGAGATTATGCAGAAGTCATTTCCTTTTGTGCCTTTTCTGTCTTTTCTGCCTTTTGGCCTTTTGATTCTTTCGTGTACCAGAATAATTTAATAACTCATATGAATAAAATCAAAAAGAAGAAAACATATATCACATCAGAAAATAGATTCGCGAGCAAAAAAATATAATGAAAAGAAGAATATATAGAAAACATACACGAAGTTGATGCTGTCGTACTTGTCTTTTCATTTGGCCTCAATAATTTCGATACATTGGTCAAAGGAAACGCTTCGTTATCGGTGAGAGGATAATCCCTTATTTAACGACAAATTTTCTTTTGGCCTCGATCACCTGATCGTACGGAAAGGTACATAACGACGACGTTTTAAAGAGCAAAGGCGACAATCGCGAGAGAGAGAGAGAGAGAGAAGGAACGTCTCAATAATAAAAGGGAATTTTCATAAACGACGACGTTACCGTCGTCGCGAATTCAGCTCCCAACGTGCTGATGAGCAAGCGAACCTCGACGATGTTATCGTCCGTTTTAATCTACCACTGCCAATCACATTGCTCGCAGCAGCATTGAACACCGAAGCCGCTCAATGCCTTTCGTGTGCTATACATATCCGATCGCCTTTACACCGATATTCACTCGAGAGCTGCACAGAGTAACGCGTTTCAATCGAGCACGCGGAATTCGGCTTGCGCGTTTCGACGGAAAAATCGTGAGATGGAAGTTCTCGTAATATCAAGTAAGCGAATGTAATGCAAAACTATTTTGAAAAATATACGCGACGTAAAATTCATGAGAAAATATATCAGACAGTAACAGAAACGATATTTCGAATTTATATGAAAATTGCGTATTCAGCAACCGTTATCAATTTTCTCTCTTTCTCTCTTCCTTTCTGTCTCTCGCGCGCGTTTATGTAATCTCGGTTGTATAAACTTTATCAAGTGTTACGCAATATACGACAGTTTATTTCGTTAGAGGAAATTAATTGCTCAATTATTAATCCACAATAACGCAAAAGCGTTCCATTTTCGATCGATCTCTGTTTGTGGTATGTTTTCGTATATTCATGTGAGAATAGTTCGGAAACATTACTTAATATTCGCGTATTGTGCGCGAAACAATGAACTGATCCGACGGAAATGATCAAAATTTCGTCGTGTATGCTGCAAGATTCTAATATCATTCTAACTCTCGCAACTTGTTTATATTGTGTGATTATTATAAATAAATTATAATTTTAATGAAATTGAAGAATGCGAAATATATCGTGATCATTAAACGGCATTATTATTATAGCGTTTTGTCTTCAATTGAAAAGCTTATTTTTGCTACGACACATTAAATGTATGGTTAATAATATATACAACGAAGACGAATATATACAACGAATTGAATCCTATTATGCTAACATGTATATGCAACCACACGTGATAATTTGGCCTGCGGATAGTTTCGACATCAAAAAGTTTCAAGCGTGCATTCGCGAAATCCAATTACTTCAAATTTACACGTGATGCGAAAATTTGCTTTAATATAATATGTAAGTAGAACTTATATATATGTTAAGTTATTCTTTTTTATAAATATATGATATAATCAAGATTAATAGTAAAAAAGTTTTTGTTGTTATTCTGAAAAAAATTAGCTTTAAATTGATCAAAAAGTGCAGTTTTGAATTTTGTTTTAACACACTTCACAATTTCTGAATCAGCAATAAGCTTTAGGTAGGAACTTTAAATTCTCCTAGTACAGTGCAATAGGTTCCTGTAACAATCCGTAATGTTGTTGCAGCTTTAGAACTTTCACGAACAATATAGCAAACATTCGTACAAATAGGATATATTCGAATTTAATCCTTACTCTAGATGATATATTATATTTATTTAGTTGCGTATGTTATAAAATTGCGACGATTTGCGAGTATCAAATATTTAATATCTTTAAATCTATCACTTTATATACTGAATATATCATGCGATATTAAAAATATGAGACGTAAAAATATAAAAATATTGTTTATATTATAGATGTAATACGCATTCAATTTTCCATTTTTATTAAATTAATATATAATTTTAATAACAATTTTTGAAAATATATGCTTTTCTCAAATTTCTAAAATTCTCATAAAAGTCGATCACCGACCGTCGATTTAATTCACGAGTCATTCGGGCGTGAAATCATCAAAAATAAAAATAAAAATTGTCGAGTGTTTCGATAAAACTACGTCAAAGTTAAATGAGATCGAAAGCTCTCGATCAGCCGCGGCGACGAGCCGTCAACCGAAACAGCCGTCCGTCGAAGATATCGGACGAACGTTGATTAAATCGTTTTTCCCATGATATTGGAGAATCTTTATACGATTTAGATTTCAGCGCGTGGTGAAAGCAAGATGAGAAAAATTATGCAAAGCAACGATCTCATCTTTTTTATACCATTCTCTCAACTACCTTTCTCTTTTTCTATACATTTTCTCGCAAGCTCACCGTCGATTTTAATCATAAAACAACGATCGAGAATTTAAAACTTTTCATCTCCTCTCTAAGAGAACACGCTTGTCCTCAGCCTATAGCTTCTCTGAAAAAAACAATCTTGCGGATGATTCAACCGCAATTTGTTTTTTTTTTTTTTTTAATATAAATCTCGGAGAAGAGTCATCGTGCGCCTAGTAAGCGAACGCAATTTTCCTCGGCGAAGAAGAACAAATCGAGCGAAATTTCGCTCCCGGTGATTGATCGCTGGTAACACGGCTCTTTCGTTTTTTCTTCCGACTGGCACTCACTTTCCCGTCCGCTCGACACGGCCTCTTACCTTTTCCGCCTATTTCTTGGTTTACCATTCTTCCATGGAACACACTCAACCATCCGGAAGCCACTCTTTCTCGTGCAGTTATTGACCTATCGAGTTGGTGCGCCTAAACTCGTCGGTTTCTCTCTTGGATTCTCTCTGGACAAGTATGAGATGATGCATGCACAGAGTCCGGAAGGTCAATAACTATGTCAATATCTAACCAAAAGAGAAGGGGACAAAGAGAGAGAGAAAAGATGACTAGCCGCCTGCAGAAGAAGAGAAAAAAAAATACTCGCAGATATATCGCGAGTTTTGCTCTTCGGCGACGCTTTATGTCGGCACAATAATCTTTACAATTTGCCGAGTTGAATACGAACGACGAGGCTGTACGATATCACTGTGCCATAGATCGCACACAATTAGCCATCTGGCAATTCGTTCGACCTAAATCATATCCGTGAATCATCCTGAATCGTAGCAAAGACACGACTATTATTCGGCTACGTTAATATCCGAGCATACATGTACATACATACAATATTCAGTATACAATCGTCATCTCTGCTGACACCGCGATATCGAAGAAAACCGTCACGCTTATCGATATTTCCGATATACGTTGACATCCCGCGTAAATGTAATCGGCAGTCACGGTAAAAGCGACAAAACGGAAATAGCGTTAGACGGACCTCGATGATGCAGTTAATGCATTCTCTTGATAGTTCGAACGCGTTACAGTTCGAGTTTTATGGCACTCGCGTTATCGTTACGCCGGACTCGAAGTTTATCGGTGTTCTAAAAAGCGATATACGCGTTTTTTTTTATCGCGCTTGGATACGCAAGCTTTTAGCTTAATAAGAGAAAGAGAGAGAGAAAGAGAGTGGATCATTAAAATTCGCTCGAGGTCCTGCTTTCAGTTGCTCGCCGAATTACGTGACATTTCGAATGTCAGTGTTGACTTAAGCATGATTAAAAACTGCTGTCCACTAAATCACAGAAATTAATAAGGCAAACGACGTAATTCAAGCGAAAAGATTACTCACTTATTAATTTTACGAATGGTCTGCTTCAGCGCAGGAAAATCCGGTCGGTCGGCGGAATCTTGCGCCCAACATCGTCTCATTAGTGTAGCTACCTGTAAAATCAAAATTTATACTTTCTTAATTTTGAAAATTTATGCTTTTGCGTAAAAAACCATTTTAAGGGAAAAAAATAGCTAATTCGCAAATAACAAAAATTATTTACGATGTCTCTCTATTTACAATAATAAAGCGATAATTGCTAATGCTAATTTAATTATTATATGCAAATAAATCTCGTATAAATATTATATATATATATCGAAATATAAACACAAATATATGTATGCAAGCGTATTTAAAATGCTTGCTATGTAAAATGCTTGATATTTACCTCTTCTTCGACGGCAGCGTCGTCAATTACAGGTCTTAAAGGTGAACCGCCACCTCTTCTAACGCCTTCTATTATTTCTGTAACAAAGAGGAAGTGTGTGTCGTGTGGTATCAAAATTCACAAAGTAATGTAGAAAGAAAATATCTCTCCGTAAAGAGCGCAGAGGATAATCCGCTCGTCGAGCGTAAGGATATCGATTACGGCGCGCCCCCGCTACGAACAGCGTGGTAACGTGTTAAAAGACAATTAATGAAATGCCATAAAATATTCCGCAAAGTTGTAATTACTCAAAGTTGAAGCAACTCCGCACGCAATGGTGCGAACCTACTTTATCCTCGAATCAGTGAAATAGCTTTACATTACGTCGGACGGTCCGCCTAGCGCGAGCAACTTTCTCCTTCGTCCGCCTTCGAACGAGCTTCACTACTATCTGCATATATCGTTTTGAAAAGTAGCCGCTTACAAAAGCTTCACGATTCACCATTTGATCTTTTCGAATACAATGTCGTTCATATATCAACAGCGTATTGTATCCGATCCGCATAAATTTTTCAATGAGGTACGTTTATACATCTATAGACATTTCGATAAATCATGAAACTGTAATACTCTTTCTTTTATCGCGAAAATAATTTTTCCATCGAAGAGAAAAGAAGATATTGATTCCGTAACTTGGATTGATTCTGAATTTTAGATGCTCTTTTATTTGCTTAAGGCAAAATTTATTATTACTTTGCGATATATATATAAATTTATTTTCACAAAAGTTATACTACGGTACAGTGCGCGATTACACGCATGAGAATAAAATTAATGAGCGGAATTTGAGATAAAATCACCGATTAAATCAAATTAATAAATATAACAGCATTCCGCGGATGTGTGAGTTCACGTGTATAATCCAATAAAACAATTTATATTTCCAGTCACGTACATTGATTTTATGACAACTAGGAATTTTACCGGAACGTGATAGCGATCAACTTATAATAACGTATCCACGATATTTACGCTCCTGTCAAAATTATCGACGTAACATCCATTTCACAGAATCGTGGAATTAGGTAAATGGTTTTCAAGTGTCACACTAGCACACAAAAAGAAATAGAATCGAGATAAATCGATAGACAAAAGGAAGTACGGTTGTGATATTGTCTCGGTAATAACGGGATTTATATCTAACTTATATATAAAAACATACATAACTAGATTTTCCTTGTAAATTACATCGTAGTTCTTTTTTATTAAAAATAAAATTAATCTAATTATTTAATTGGCATATTATGTATACATCAATGCAAGCTAATTATCACGATTAAAAAAAAAATGATTATAACAGTACATTTTTTTTGCTTATTAAGTAATATCTCTTTAGTCTTAGTTCCTCTTTATATATAATGATATACATTTTTATGTAAAACAAAATTAATGGTTCTTTTTTGTCAAATTTATTGTTGGACATAACAAATGTATAAATAATACGAAACATTGAAATTACACGAATTCTGCAACATTTCGAATTTTGCCTAGGATGAGATTCGATAATCTATATATAGAGAAAGGAAATATTTATAAGCACTACTCCACACACAGAATCTCCAAATACGTTCTAGTTGGACTCTCGCATATCATCTATCGTCACACGTTACGCTCCATAAATTTCCATCTGCGAAATCAATGATATCACATTTCCGTCAAAAAAAGACCAAATGAAGAAAATTAAAAAGACAACGTAAAAAATAATTGTGTTAAGAAACCAATAATTATATCCACAGTAAAAACATATAAAAAATACAAATATGCATCTCAAATATTTATCTCAAATTGATTTTCCTTAATTATAAAAAAATTTATAACATATCTCCAAAGATACTAACAAATTTTAATATGTAAAACACGCCGACGTTCATTAAAAGCAAAAGTTCATTGAAATTCGGAATTCATTGCAAAACTGTCAATCATTTCCATGCAATTATAATTACAATCATTATTCATCATTGCATATTTTGCGAAATTTCTTTGACAATGTACAATCGGTATAATTTATAATATATGTACATTCCACTCGAAATATCTCTCATGACGGAACTCACGCTGTGAAAGCATTGCAAAACTGTCTAATTTTGTCCGAGGTCAATATCGGACGTTATATTCCGACGGATTCGTCCTCGAGTGGGTGGCGCCCGCGTAAGTACGCTCAAGATGTAATTGATTGGGTATCGAATTCGATCGCGGCGCGACGGGAAACTAAATCCGCGTCGCCGTCGCGCAAAAAGGACACGTACTGTGCCTGTAGATGTCCTCGAGGTATATGCTGCAAGACTCGCAGTTGAGGGTGCAGTGAGGCCTGCGGACCTCGAGCAGGGGACTGACGGCCCTCCTGGGACTGGCCCCGCCGTCGGGACTCGTCCCCGGCATCGGCGGCAAAGACAGACTACTCGTACTCGAAGTGTTACTCCTCTCCGCCATTCCGCCTTTGTCCTTTGGTCGTCGATCAAGGGAGAACCAAACTGTCTCGCCGGACAGCCCTTGAAAATTTATCGTCGCGATTTCTCTTTCCAATCTCGCTTTCTCTCTTGTCTCCTTTTTCTTCCATTAACCTTGCGATTTTGCCACGTGCGCGTGCACGCGTGCATGCACGAGGCAAAAACCGTATTATACATTCGTCGAATCGGCATATCCGACAATACGATGGAATTTCATAGAATAGAAAATCATAGAATAGATAGAAAGAACTTATTATACATTCGTCGAATCGGCATATCCGACAATACGATGGAATTTCATAGAATAGATAGAAAGAACTTGTGACTCGCGCGAATACATTTTCGGAATTCGAGATAGTCGTCCGCGCAATCGCGAAAATGTAAGGTTGAACACGTTAATATAATAAATCATGTGTAGAGAGTTAATTCGTGAATGTATCGTATCGCTTTTTGATGAACGGAATTGGTTAAAAAATGATTTCCGATCGTTGTGACGCGAGTTGAAAGAGGAGAATATAAATATAGATAGGAGAAAAGAAGGGCATTTATGCTCTTTGGACCATGTCACCAAGAGCAAATATAGAGGATGTGGGCAGATACAGGTTGTATATCTTCGCGTGAATGTTATATGTCATGCTGTTACACAATAATTTTGCGGATTGTATTGTACAAGTAATATCTACCGCGTATTTTCATTTTTCCTACACGTGTATTTATCTTTTTTACAATATATATAAAATTTAACAAAAATTTAAATCATTAAAATATCAATAGGTAAATTTATATCACACACTTTTTGGAGAGAGAGAAATGCAATTATATTCAAATATATATATATACCTATATATCTATAAACGGGCATAATGGCATATTTTATTTGTTTATCTTCGTATCAGGGCTACAAGCATATTTGTGTGCGGAATTAATTTTCTTTACCGTTTAAAATATGCAAAAGAAAATGGAGAGTATTCAACGTCTTGCGTATCCGCACAGACTATTAAAACGTTTACCACACTATTCTCTTTCCAGAATGCATGTATAGTATATATTTACTTTATGTCGATTAAAAGCTCACATTACTTTGCGACAAGTTAAGATAATATTTATAAGGTATCCTGTGCATTTTGCAGCTTCTCATTCTTTTAAAAATCAAATTATCTAATTTTCTTTAATCTCTCTAATTTTGATTAATATTATTAATAATTGCTTACAATTGCTCATTATTATTTCCATGACGATCAAACACTTCACAAATGACAGTCGTGATAACGATTAAAATAAATGAGTAATTAGCAAATGGAAATTCATTAAAATTAACTGACATTTCCACGAAAAGCGATTGTTTTGTTAGACTAAAAATATGGGTAATATTTAACATTTAACAAAATCTATCCCACGCGACATACTAATTTCATTTATAAAAGTTATGTTACATACAATTTTCTAATTAATGAAGTTGTTACCCGAAAGGCATTTTCGAAGCGCTCGTGCATGAAATGACAGCGCGATGATTATCTCAAAGTTTAATTCGCATATAATGATATTATAAGAGTGATTTATTTGATAGAACTTTGCCGGAAAGTTATGTCTCGATGGCCTTGGATCGTCGCTCTCGACTTTGATTTTTTCCCCGCCCAACTTCTTCCCACATCTCTATCCGATCATTTTACGACCAACGACCCTCTTTTCGTTTCACGAGGTCATTGCTTTCGATATTTTGCTGAAAGAGACGCACCAATTTCCGTGAGTATAAACGCGGTTGTTAGAAACAGATTATATAATCGCTGTTTAATTTATCATCTTTGAAAACTTGAAAGAGGATAGATTTTCTCACACGGCCACTTCTAACTTTAAATGGATAAATAAGAGACTGAAAGTAAGAGATAACTAAAACTCAGCAAGAGAGAGAGCACATTTTCGAAAGCGAACAAACTTGAGGAGAGAGTAACAAACCGTTTGATTGTAACACTTAACGAGCAAATAATTCTCTTTGTCGCAATTAACAGTGAAAAACTTTCCGGAAGTCACGCGGGCAGGTCATTCGATCGTTGCTTCCGAAGTCTAAGTGCTACCTTCGCTGTCTCTCTCTCTCTCTCTCCCCCTCTCTTTCCTTAACACGGGTTTTCGACGCATTCAAGCACACGCGCGTTTCTCTCGCTCCATCCCGGCCGGGTCCACTCCGGGTCTTTGCCTTTATGGCACAATCGACCCCATCGAATTTTGCTCTTGTATTACGTACACCGGGTTTTAACTTCGACCGCACCATCGGTTACAGGAGACACGCCGTATTTTCCACAGGAAAATACACGCGCGTCTGCTGAATAACAAATCGTTTAAGAATGAGGGGGGAAGAAAATTGTTTCCCTCGTATTGCTTCCTCTTGTCGGTTTTAGCCGAACACGTCTTGCCGAATTAATGACCGCGAGCTACGAGCTCGTAACCTCGATTCCACCGTCGAGCGAATTAGCGCGAACGCTCTTCACCTAGTTATTTCGCAGGAAATAAAGCCGGGATGTGAGTGAAGTATTCACGAGAGAGGTACGAGAAAGATGTGTTCGACATCTCGTTAACACGGGGACATAATTATAATTATTATATAATATAAAATGTATATAATGTCCATTTTTACTTCTTAATACACATTTTTCGATCGTTTTTACACTTTTAAGCATTTTTATTTTTACTTTTACGAAAAATCGTGGATATTTACATTAAAATTCTAGATATAAAAATTTGAAGCGATTCTTCATTGTAAGCGATAAAAAATTACAAATATTCTTTATTAAAAAATTCTTCACAAAAATCGTTGTCTAAATAAAAAATTTACTTCCCCCCCCCCCGACTTTATATATAAATGCATATAATACTCTCATTTAAAGAGAAGTTATATTCTCCCCAAGGAAATCCTCGGAAGTACTTTTTTTCATCGCGGTTGCATAAATAAAGATGAGAAACTTCGGACATAACGAAAGGTAGAAGAACATAAGAGAGGAAGATAAGAAATAGACATTTAAATGCATTGTAATTTCACACTATCGTAAGCATATAATGCGCATAGCAACAGCAGAATAAACGGAGAATCTCTCTATCGTGATAAAAACAGATACATATGTATATCTAGAGCGATATACACGGCAAAAGAATAAAAGTTTCGTTTGCGCGTGTATGCGCAAAATGGCAGAAAACAGAAGCGGAAAGTGTGTGTGCTTGCGGCCGGTGAACTCGAATGTGATGGAACGCGCGACTCCGTTACGACCCGTCTGATCCGTTGTACGATGCATCACTTGCCGGATCACTACGAGCACTATCTCCTGGAGATCTCGGTCGAGTCTCCCCTAAGTCTATCGGCAGATCGTATTCGCGTAACCGATGAAACCGCATAGCGTGTGACACGACGGTCGAACGTAAAGTTAAATCTGTGATCAGTGATTCAGGTAAACGGATGATCCGACTCCCGCTAATCCGAGTCGTAAGTTGATATCAGAAACTCCATAAATTGGAAGTAAACTTTTAGTCCCGCGGCGAGTTAACACATTTAACGGTTTATTTTATTTAACAGAACGAGAGAGACCGAGTTATTTTCTTTAACATCATCAAAGATTTACTTTTAACTTCGTCAGTGAGAGTTCACTTTTACACACAATCGCAGACCTTTTTTTTTCTATTTCTCTCTCTCTCTTTCTTTTTTTCGAATAGAGTATCTCCAACACAATTAAAGATATATTTTTTCTCTTTAATATAGTTTCTTCTCTAACCTTTCAGAAATTTATTCCCTTCAATGGTAAAACTTTAACACAGTCGGAGCTCTATTTCCTCTAGCGGGGACCCTCTAACACGGTCAGTGGCCTCTTTTCTCTAATACGGTCATCGGGATTTATTCCGTGCGCATTTTCCTCACGTTCCGCTGCGATGAAACGATAATTGCTTTCGCGTGGCTGTAACGCGGATATTAAACGAAGGTACGTCGACCTCTGCAGACTCTGTTTTTGTATTTCAAAATCGATATTATGCCGATGACGATTAAACGATGATAAAACATGCGAATGATCTGCAAAGGTTCACGCAACGTCACGTTCGCGTGATCACAAATAATTAAAAAAAGGGAAAGAAAGAAAGAAGGAAAAAACACAACGCACGGTATGCACGCACATTGTTGTCGGATATGCCGCTCGGCAAGGAATCTCTCTTCATTTAAAACAACACGTACGACTCCGTTATTAGGCCGTAAATTCGGGCATAAGTGGTGCCCGCTGGTTTCACTCGCCAAGAATGTGTTTATATATTGGAACGAAGAGAAAGGGTAAGAGAAAGAGGAAAAAAAAGAGAGAGAAAGCGATATCGAGATGAATCTCGGCGGAGCGCGCGCGACAGCCGCGTGCGTTCTAGGACGCGTAAGAGCCTCGACTGAGCTTTCGGCATGCTCCTATGGAACTCGCGACACATTCCATCCTGCGATCGATCCTCGTGGACAAACCGACAGCTTGCGAGCTTGCGAGAACATCGTTACCGATTGTTCGCCCGTCGATTCTGCCTGAAGAAACTCGAAACGCGGCGAGCTTCGACGGTAAAACTCGGTGGTTCTCCCGTCTGACCATAGAGTATCGATATCCACTGAGAGCTTTGATGAATTTGATCTCAATATCACGGATGCGATATCGGATTATCAACGCGTCTCGCTACCCTCCGGAGAAAAAGGTCATCGATCGGACCAAGACGTGCTTGCAAACTGCGTTACCAAGCCCTGTTTTCATCTCTTATCATATTACCCGATAAGATATCTGCGTCAATAAGGATTTTTTGGATCGCATATATATATTTATGACTTATTTAATTAATATTTCTATTTTATATTTTGTCAACAGAAATTTGAAGGCAGAAGCAAAATTAAATGTTCTCTATTTTTATGCAGTCAAATCCAAATAAGAAATAAAACTTTGACAGATCATTGGACAATAATCTCCCCAATTTCATATTCTTGAATTTTGACAATACGTAGTGCAATCTGTGCGACGATGGATATATTTACCTTACACGATTTAAACAGCACATATCACTTGCTATCTGTTTATCACGTGCTCGACTGTCGATAACAGACTGTATAGATTCCAACGGGAGCTTGCAAGCTCGCCGTACCAATCAATAACATTCTTTGGGAAACTTTAGTAAGCCCTGATACTCGCTTGGCGGCCGATAAAATGGTGAGCAAAAAACTCTGTTTACCAGCAGGCAAAGAGCTCTTTTAAAAAATTGATTATAAAAGTAAAAAAAATATTAAGTATAGATCTTTTATAATATTTATGCTATCATTATTAATTCAAATTATATTGGAGAGATTATGTAAAAAAAAATCGTCACTATAAATTATATTATATAAAAAGATTTCATGAAAATACAATCTAGTTTTTCTCGCATAATTTAAAGCTTTCAAAAGAAAAGTATTTATCATCAAAATCTCTTTGATAAATCGAAAAAATGCTGAATAACTAAAGTCGCAACACGCGATACGTTTGCAATCTCGTATCGGGGAAAGTACTATAATTTCTGCTATATGTTTTGCAGCTCGCGTAACGTGAAAAACTGAGAATTATGTCGTCATTTATTAGAATCTATAGATTATCGTAAGCCAAATCCTAACATGCGAGCTATTACGAATCGCGTCACGCGACGGTAACGTATTCATGATTAATCTTTAAAACATACATACATCTGACTCTAGAAACAAGGGCACAAAAAGTCGATATTGTGTGTGTGGTAGAGTATAAGTAGTTCCATATCGTGCACGAGATTAAAATTTTTCCGTTAATCACACAGGGTTTAAAAAACCCTAAAGGTAAAAGAGAAGCGAGAGCGTTTGCAAAAATGACTGCCGGTACTTCGGATAAATAATCACCTCAATTTTAATCCATTTTGTCCGTCATTTAATTCATTTCCACCATAAATAGTAAAATGCATTAAGCATTGTTTATCGAGGCTTTCTCTAGACCGTTGTTATGAAGCAAAACAACGCATTATTGTGTTCACAAGAAACATAACATCTTACCCTTCTGGTTTTTATCATTCTTGCGATAATATTGAAATTATAATAATTTAGGCAAGCTCAATTTCTAATATTATAAACACATGACAATAAGCTCCGTATATTCTTTAATTAACGTAATATATATTTTCTTATATTAATATAACAAAACAAAAACAATTTACTTGTAAATTTATACAAATTTCGATCTCTACCGCTGCATCATCTTTTCTAGATAATAAAAACATAATATATTGCACAATCAAGTTTATCTTTCTGTTGTTTATTCTAGTAACTGTGATGCAAATTGTACATATCTAAGATACGATATTAAAGTAGGCCGTCTTTGTTACAACGCCGTCGCGTTAAAGAAAACACGACAAGAGGCAATTGCATGTACCTCGCGATTATCCCGAATGACGTTAAAGACTCACCCTTCGGAGAAAGGTTGTTATTGTCTCCCAGGTAGAATGGCCCTTGGCGCATCACGATCTCGTGAACGATTATAGCGAAGCTATATACATCGCCTTTCTGAGTGCCCTCGGGCGGCCGTCTTTCCATTCTCAGCAACTCTGGTGCTGTCCAAAGCTGTTCTGCAAATACCAAATTTCCTGCTCTAAAAAAAAAAGAAAAATCGAAGTGCCCGAACGATTCAATCCTTTTTTCTATTTTTTTCGTTTTTGTTTTTTTGATTTTTTTTTACATGTTTTGACCGTTACTGCAAAAACACGAATATTATACATCACAAATATGTAGACAAAAATACAAAAGTAACGTCAAGATAAAAAATATTCATTGTTCAAAACTCCCGATATACGTAATAAACCATTAACTAAACAAATATCTTTCTGCAGTACGTATACTTTATCATAAATATATGTGCATATATGAATGTGTGCGCAATGAAATAACCATCTTCAAATACTGTTCAATCGCGCAATCAGGAGTTTTGTACGTTTACTCCAAATATTATCTCGTTTCTCGCTCGCGTTCCCTCATACATTCTTATTTTTGCTCGCGTTATCCGCACGCGCTTGAAAAATATTTAACGTTACAACTACGTTTCTCACGAAAAAATACCATCGCACGCGCGCTTGAATGTATAGTTTAATCCATAAACACATACTTCTCCAATAAGCGTAGCTGTTTCTGTCGACGTCCTCCTCCGCGTTCGTTCTTCTGAGCTCGTGCAAGCCAAAGTCGGCGATTTTCAGGACGAATCGCGAATCGACCACGCAGTTTGAGGACTTGAGATTACCGTGACTTTTGACCTCCGATGCGTGGAGATACGCCATGCCGCGGACGATATCGTGTATCAGGGATCCCCTGAACACGCGATCGAGCTTTATCTGCTCGTTCTCCAGTATATCCTGCCCAACAGCAAAAGATAAATATAATAAGGCGCGTTTAAATCCACAAGATCGATTCCTATATAACTTTATATCTCAATCAATTGCTCCAATATATCGCAGGCTTCAATAATATTGTTATAGATACATAAATATTGTTATAGTTATATAAATATACGTTTGGTTTTAATAAAAATATTTATACATATATATACACACATATATATATATGTACGGTTTCTCCGACCAATTATATACAAATCTACTTTTATTCTTGTTAGTAGAAACTGCAACTCGAGCAAAGTGATGATGATTCAATCGAATACTTAAAGTTCCAGCATAAGATAAGACAAGTATAAAGTGGAGCCCTTTTGTTTCGTACATAGAATGCTTGCGATGCACAGACGAACGCATTAACGGTATGTGAGCACTAGCTTGTTAGTGCAAATTCCTTCTCCAGATCAAAGCACGTGTACATATGTGTGCTTGTATGTTGCACACCGTTTCAATATTATATAGATAATATATAATATTATAGACTCGACAATATAGGTTACAATATGATTCATGTGACAAATTAATAACAAATATTCTAACTAATATTAAGAGTTAAAAGAAAAATCATTTCATTTTTTTCCATTTTCAATATTATAATTTTCAATATTATAATATATCTATTTAATAAGCTTCTAATTAATATTCTGTTATCAAGTTTCATTTAAAATTAATTAATTCAATCAATTATAAACCCCGGTGCTTTGATATTTTATATCGATATTATTCGATATTATTGAAAATTCTCCAAATTCGCAGATTGTAATTAAGATTAAATTCGAATTGCAAA